GACAATTTGATGCAGTGGTTAAGATGCTGGACTAGATCCGGAAACTGTAAGTTCTAGTCCTCCTGTAGGCATGAAAGCCTTTGGGGTGACTCTGGGCCAGTCAATCACTCTCAACCCAATCCATCTCTCAGGAGAGTTGTGGGGAAAACAACAGGCAAAAGCATTATGTATGCAACCTTGAGTTGTACAAAATAAAGATGGGACATAAATCTAATAAATAAATAATAAATCAGCATGCCCTCAAACATGGGTTTAAAATTAATAAATTACCCAGTGATTTAGGTAACAAATTAGGAAACAGAACTGTATTTCCAAAATTAATGTGCTAGTGAAGGATAGTGTCATTTAAATAAGCAGTGTTTTTCTATTCTAATCCAGTTTGTATCATTTTGAAAATCCTAGCTATCAATCACCCCTGTATGCCATTACTCTTCACCTCCTGCTTCCCCTGCTCCAATTAATACTGAATAGTGTTTGGAAGACTCCAGTGAGGCAATTTTCCAAGAAAAGAGGAGGAGGGGGAAATGACCAACTGGTTTGTACTGCATTCTTTAAAGGTTCTCTAGCAACAAACAGAAACACAAGACAACACATTCTCCAATGTTTTTAATTATGGTAAAATGTTTATTACATACCTGAATTTTATCCAAATACCATAGAAAGATCCATGCACCCCCAGACACATATATTTTATATCAAATTTCTCAGAAAAGAAGTTAACCTTATATTTTGTACTTTACTGCAAATTGTTTTCAGTGAAATAGACGTTGCATAGAATTTTGTAGCTCAACATCTGTTAATTGTGAAACTGTGTTACACATTTATATTTTTAATTTCTTCCACAATTTAATTTCATAGCAATTTGTAACCATATATTTAGAAACAGACATGATTCCATGATAAAAAGTGTATGCATTGTTATTGAAATTATTAGCATATGTACAAACATGTTTTCCAAGTCTTAATATAATATGTTATAGTGATGAACATTCTCTACAGTGAACATTTCACAGCAAAAGGCCAGCTACTGTATAACCCAAATACAATATAAAAACACAAGCTGTTGCATACACTTCATTTTTACCACCTTCCCATTCCCTACCACAATGAAAAGCAGCAAATTCAAATTATAAAAAACAATTCTAATATAACACTTATTTGTAAAATATGTACACAGAATATAATCCAGTTCAAACTGAGCAGTTTTAAATCCCACTGATTTCAAAAACAAGTTGCAAAGGTGGTTTAACATTTCTCCCAGTGAAATCAAGGGACCTTAAGATGCTTAAATTCAGCTAGATTATATCTATAATATTTATATCATGATTTTTTTTATCTGTTAAGCAGAAGTGAATGTTTAAATATGATCTCTACTCATCCTTAAAATACACACTATCCTTTGATTTTGTTACAGTAAGTGCTTTTACATCATCCAGAAGTCTTCTAGGTGTCACAATGTGAGTAGATCCTGGTAAAAAAGATGTAGTCATTAACATTAATCTACCATATTCCTCATTGATGGCAGCCTAGATCAGGATTTTTCTAATGTGTTGCATGGAACTCTAGAGTTCCATGAAAAGCTTGACAGAGTTCCTTTAGAGATTAAGGACAAAACAAAAGTTCACCTGCAGGGGCATTCATAGCAATTTTTCTAAAGTAAAGAGGTCCAAGTTTGTCAAGTGACACTCAGAAGGCCCACTCCCCCAGGGGACAATTCATCATTTTCCCTCTTGAACAGGAGTACCAGGAACTTTTAACTAATGTTCAGTAGCCTGAAAAGTTTGAAAATCCTCAGGCTAGAGTGGAAAACATGTGGCCTATGTATGGAGCTGAAACATGTGTTTCAGGTCAGGAATGCAGGAGTAAGGCAAGTAGCAGTAGCAGCAGCAGCTAAGTGGAAATAGGAAAAGTAAGAATTTAAATGTTCAGAGAAACAGGCAGCCCAGTTGGATATGCAGTGGTTGCTACACACCTCTGCTCCTGAATTCCAGCAGGGCATGTCTGATTTTCCCAGTGCATTTCTTTCCCCATTTCCTTTAAGCTGCCTCTACCATTTGTAAATTGCAATGGGAAGCTTAGCAGGTGGACCAGCACAGAGGCCATACAAAAGAGAAGGGGAGAGAAAGTAAGGTATACCAGCCTTGCCCTATTCACCCCTTAAGACCTTTCTGGAATTTATCTCAGCAGAAACATGGAAAAATCAAGAAATTCTGGGTTTCAGTTGAATCTAACCACAACACGCCCAGTACAGCTGACTTTCTGAGCTACAATGAATATATTGAACGAATAAAATGCGTTTCAGGTTTGAAACAAAACACATTTTCCATTTCATGTACACTCCTTCAATAACTATGTAAGTTTATTGTTGTAACCAAAGGTCATAACATATAGTGTGCCATAAAATACAATAAAATAACAATAAAGTAAACTAGTAAAATTGTAAATAAAGTAATATAAAGAGTGTTAGATGTAAAAAGGTTACAGCAAAATAAAGCCAAAGCTACAACTTAAGTATTTCTTTCTAAGTTAAAATGACAGCAGACCAAAAGTAGCAACTTAGTTCCTGACAGTTGGGAACACATCTGCAAGAAGATAGTTCAATTTTTTGAGGTCTGAGCCCTTGAGATCATCTACCTTTAGTAATTTGGACCTCAATATAAGGCTGGCTGGAACTGAACACGAATTGTTTTTCTATGCTGATAATATGTCTTATTGAAAACTACATATTTTCTATATCAAAATATATTGATTTTGTACATGTAATTTATCTCATTATTCAATTTAATTGGAGAACACTGATATTTGTGATAAGTTTTAATGTTTCTATGAAAGTTATAAAAATTGCATGTTTATTGTTTGAACTCTTTCAAATATCAGGAAATATAATAATACAAGGAATAATTGCAATAATTTCTTCAATTCTGGGTGTAAATATGTATTTTGTATCTCAGATAAAAATTGACAAAAATAGATGGTTAAAAATCCCATTGAGCTTATGATGATGGATAAATATTATGCCCCTACGTTTCTTTAAATAGAAGTGGTAAAAAAATGTCTATAGGGACAACAAATCTTAAATTATGGCTGTGATACAAGTGCTTTTAAAAAAAAAGTTATCTTGACTTTCTACTTTATCATTTGACACATATTTTGACTTCAATTTCTCTATGGAGTGCAAGTTGCCAAATCAAAAAATCACTAAGGATAGAATTAGAAATCTATTATGATTCCTCTGATACTATGCAAGGAGCATGGCTCTGTTTTTAGCAATAGCTCTGTTGTATTGCAGGACTCGTTTAAAAGAAGTACTGAGATGGATGTATAATCTTAACCCTTATTCATATGACAATCCAAGTGTCAAGTAAGGGTATTAATATCTTAGATCAGCTTATTGCAAATCCAGTTTTTAAACCATTTGCTTCAAGAAGAGTTTCAACTCTCAAGCTGCAAAATATATTCAATTAAAACCCCTTCTGATTTCACAATTAGGTTCAGATGCATGAGCAGCATCTAAAACTTCCAAATTATTATTCATATGATATTGCCTGTTTTGGTTTAATAGCCATCCGTTTGTTAATACAGCATTACAAATATGAGGATGTACTTTTGAATTCTATACCAAATATTTGGAATTTACTACTATATGAAGAATTTGAATAAATTTGGATAACTTGGTAAAAGCATGGAACATAGCAGAAAATATTACTCTATGAACACAGAGCGACCCCAGATTTACAATCTTGGATCAATGGTGTATATTCATTTTCTGTTTATTAATTGGTTAATAATTAATTAATGGAAAGACTGATCAATATTATTCTGTGTGGTCATTTTTAATGATGTATTTAAAAGATGGGCAGAATGGCTTTCTCAATATATATTTTTGCTGTTTCATTTTCACTGTTTCTGTCTTTTGTTCTTTGTTAGCTTTTTATTTTTCTCTTTTTTATGTATTAAGGCAATAAAAATATATTTAAAAATAGGCTTACCAATAATAACTTCACAAGACTTGTATGCCTGAGAAACTTCATAAGCGCATCGTGTCTCTGAATATGTAATGCCTCCAATGACAAACACAATCAGCTTTGCAACACTCTTACGATCATCCAAGTAACTAGTTTTGGGTTTATGACGAGCACTGTAAATGCAAATACATATAACTGATCAAATTAATTATCAGGAAACTGAGGAGCGCATTTTTTTCATGCATCCAAGCACAATTAAACTCCTAACCTCACTGCTCCTGAACCATTCCAAGGTGCTGGGCACTGGGAACAATAAGGCCACTCTTTTGAATCCAATTTATTTTCTATAGCATCCTAGAAAACAAAGAAATATGACCCTGTAATATTACTCAAAGATTCACATTACCTCTAACCAGCAACCAGACTTAAAACCTGCATACAGTGGCAAAAATTTCCTAGACTAATGAGCAATACATTAACAAAAAATTGGAATTGAATTTGCCATTTATGAACCACTTCTTGATGAGAAGACATTTCATAGTATCAATAGTTTAAGTTCAATACTCCAAATATTTATCCTTCTTATTCCAAAACTTAGCATCTTGTTCATATAACTGAATAATTTTCTACTTGAACACTGACACTAAGAAGGAGAGAGGAGCTACTTTTAGATATGTAAGCAGTTTAAGGAATTAAAAATGTAGTACATTTCCAGTGATATTTATTAGTGTACAGAGCAAAAATATGTAAAAATTATATATTTCACTTCCTATTAAGTCTTTGAAGAAAAGCTTTTCCAGTATTTTAAATACTGAAATATACTCTGGGACTAAAACTATTTGGCTTCTTGAAGGTACTTTCTAAATGCTACTCAAATGCTAAAAACTGCAAAAAAAGGGGGGATGTTAATGTCCAAATATGCCACTGGTTAAATTTTGTTAGAGCAAAGAGAAATGAAAATCTGTAGCTTTTCAGATGCTGCAGAATTACATTTCTCTGTAACTCAAGGCTTCAGCATGGCTAAAAGTGAGGGATTGTTCCATTAAGTGATACAATCAAATGTCTGCAATATTAAATCAACAAGAAAGGTGCATTAACTGTGTACTCTCACACACACACACACACTCTTTAAAATTTCTGCTTAAGCATTCTTCATGAAAATTTTACCTCCATGACATCTTTAACAATGGGTGTCCATCTAGAAAGCTGAAATGTTTCTTCTGAAGAGCGATCCCTTCTTGGTGATCTTCGTTGTGATGCAGACTAAAAAGTCAAATGTTTATTATTGTCTAAGAAATCAGATATTCAAATAAAAATACACACTAGGTACTCCTGAATGGCCTAAGTTGCAATTTAGCCAATTGCCTGCTTTGTTCTTCATAAATCTAAGTTAGCTACCACAGCCTGAGGTTCCACTAAATATTTCTACTTTCATCTTCAATACATTCTGTTATAAACTTAATTGCTACTAAAGAAGCAATGTTGTTAATGGACTGTATCTAATACTGTCTTTCCTTCTTGCAGAAGTGCTATTGTTTCCTAGGAAGATAAAGTCCAACTCCATTCAATAAGACTTACTCTTAAGTAAATACGTACACATCAGCCTCAGAGTTCAAAAGTTTTAAAATCTACAAGTTCTGGCACAACGTAACAATATGAGACAAGCATAGTTGCATGTTCAGACTTCCCATCAACTATGAATATATTGGTTGCCCTCAGATAAGCATTACATCTGAGGCTTATCTCCATACCCACTTTAACTTGAGATAATTATGCAGACTTTTTACTAGGTTATGGAGATCAATGAAACACTTTGGAATGCTTTCTTATATCAATTCAATACGATCAACATATTATAATGGTTTTAATCTGCATTCTGGAAAAAAAAACCCTCTCACTTTGTTCCAAGCTCTTACTGTCATACAATTCTCATAAATTTTCATAAATTTTCATAATTATGACTGCTGACTGAAGAATTTGGGAAGATTAAGTGAGAAGAGAAATAAAGGGCAAGGATATGAAACTGAAAATAGCATATCAGACCCTTGAAAACAAGTACAGTAAGATTTTCAGGAAAAAAGTTGCATTCCTTACTGTAGCGAGGACAGGTACACCAAGGTACTTCCAATTATTTATCATGTTGCTATCATTTTCTATCTGTACATTCTGGATCAACTTGTCCAAATTTTCTTGGGTAGTTCCTTTTTGATAAATGTGACATTTTGAATTAGTAACCAACAACAGTTGTGCAGAATAAATTTCAAGCTATGTAAACCATCAGTGAAATTAATAAACTTTATATGCTATAGGAAGTTATAACATGCTGAATATGTTTCCATCATGCCAATGTTTATAACCCTTTCCTAGTTACACTTCTCAAAATATATGTTTTGATTTTAATGTATTACAGAAGATCATTTAAATAACATTTCTCACCAATTCCTCCTCATGTGCCCTGAGCACCTTTTGAAATCATTTGGTGACTTGGAGCCTTTTAGAATAGGAAGTGGTGGGCCACTGAGGAAGGGAAGAATTGCACCCAAAATGGAGCTGAGATCCTTTTTCAGATGAGCTCCATGAATCCTGTGGAGATGCTTTTTAGGGAAAAAGAGGATGGGAAACTTTTCCTGTGAACTTCCCTAACAGTGCAATTTCATGCTTTCTCAGAAAATAGTGCATATAGCCAGATCAATTTCCATAAGACTGCAATTAAATCAAATTAGCTTAGGATTCAAGAATGATGTGGCCTACCGACACACTGTCTGGCATAGCCATTTTTTATTTTTATGTAAATTGATTGCAATTTATTCAGAAACATTTTCGCTCAGTGACCCACTTCCACAAGAAGTCATGTACAATTGGCAATTATCCCAAGAGGTCCTGACACCAGAAAAGGGCAGCCACAGCTTTCACGTGGCTCACATGATAAATATTTCACTACATCTATATTTTTATCACATACTTCCAATATTAAATTATAAGCAGAAGTGGTTCTGAACAGTATGGGATGCAAACCTTACCATTTGTGCTGAAGATATAGAGAAGAATGGCTCTTATTTTATCGTAGCTATCATGGCTTTTATTAAGCAGTACTGGAAGGAGGACCCGCATTGAGTCTCTCACTTTCTGTCCCTCAGCATCTGTTCCAAGAGCCAAATCCTAAATTATAAACAAGAAACACACAGCAATAATTTTAGTATGATCTTCATTATAATGTTGCCATTGGCCTTTACACCTTCATTTCAGTTACAGAATTTTGAGGAGTTTCTTGTCACATTTGATCTTTCAGAGGAACTCCTACTTCCCACATATAACTATTTAGATTTTTTAGATTTTTTTATTCCGCCTTTCTTATTTTTTTATAAATAACTGAAGGCGGTGAACATACCTAATACTCCTTCCTCCTCCTATTTTCCCCGCAACAGACACAATCTTGTGAGGTGAGTTGGGCTGAGAGAGAGTGACTGCCCAAAATCACCCAGCTGGCTTTCACGCCTAAGGCTGGACTAGAACTCACAGTCTCCTGGTTTCTAGCCTGGTGCCTTAACCACTAGACCAAAC